TTATGTATCTCATTTCGTCACTTTTCTTCTCTTTGTTTTCCGACTTTTCAAACTAAAATATAATCTTATGTAAATCACTCTGCATGTTTTTTTTTTTTTGTCCCGTGGCGCATTTTACGTACGTTTCAAAAAACACTGCGGTCGCAATTTACGCAGAACATGATACATGACTGCACGCGGAAGTTGTTCAGTTGTTCTCCTTTCTATWCAACAGTTCCTATATAGGCTATAATAGATGCTACACCTGATCAGGAGAAATATAACATAATATAATATTATTATTAAATGCGTTATGCGTAGGAACGGGGAAATTCGGACGCGAATTTGTTCGTCTACACAGCGACCGGTTAGGCAAAAAATTAAAAGTGACACGCCCACGACATCCGCGCGGGTGACGAAAGATCCGAAATACCGGCCACATAAATTATTATAATATTATTTTAATAACATCCGCGACCGCTTATTTCATATACCGACGACGGTTTATATATATTGTAGATATATGAGCACATTTAATCCCGGCAAACGGATTCTTTCTATACATAAACGTCTGAAGGCGATGACGAGGAGAGATGACCCATTTGGCGGACCCGACCTCCCTCAGACCGAGTCCACCGAGTCTGCCGAGTATAGTGTCTCTGTGTCTCGACTAAAAAAATAAATAAATAAATAAATTTGACTAGTGTATTCTTAACCCCAAACAAAACTTGAAAACACTTCAAGTGACAACAGAAAAGTTCGAGTAATCGCGAGGTTCAACTGCAATATCTTATTATTATTAGCAACCAATTTTGTTTATACTATTTCGTCGCATAGTCTCAACTCTTTTCCTATCGTAATTTTTCTCGCACTTTCGACACTCTCATCTTCGCGGTGGTCACGTGATGGACCGTCACCGCGTGCTGCAGAGAAAATTTCGTACGATATCCAATATAATATATACCTACATATATAATACAAGACTAAAATCTATGCTGCAATTATTATGTACCTGCTGTACCACTTAAAAACGTATACGTTTATATGTATATATAAATATATATACGTTCGGTAACATTATATCGCTCGTAATAGGACGCTTATATTGTGTGCCCCAAGAAATACAGACCATCACTCGGTAGTCGTCATCGAAGTCGTGACTATTGTGTGCGGATATATAGGTAGTGACATTCGTCAAAAAAACACGAAGATATTCCCACATTATGCGCGGCGTGCAACACTAAAACAGTTTTACGGACGTTGAAATGGGTATTATACTTATACCTGGTATTCGAGTACGTGTTTTTCAGTTATCTAAAACCACACGACGTAGCTGCTGCACACGATGTTTATCCAATAGATAACTAATGTTTCTATTTACGTTTGTTATTGCCAATATACAAACGGTCTCTATATACCTACATTAACTATCCGCAGTGTTTCACGCGGAAAAATGTATAAGTAGATCACCTAATCTACCTAATAACATAATATACCTACGCAGCATTAACCATCTCAGCAACGGTAWCATACTTAAAAATATTATTTTTGTGAACCAAATAGATTTACATATTTTGTTTGAATACAAAAACACTTTTTATTATTGTTGTACGCGTAATATAAGACCTGTTGTAAGATTTTTTCAAGCTTTTTTTTTTTAATAAAACTTGTCTGTAATAAATCAGAAAGATCTATAAAGTAGTGTAAAGACTAAGTAAAAAAAAAACAAGATTGAGAGTATATATTTTTATCGCAATATGACATAAAAAATACCATAATATATCTGTACGTTTATCTCTGTACAATTACATTTAACAATAATCACTACTCACAAGTAATATATTGTCCAGCAATACTTTATACATATACGATATACATTTTATCTAATTCCTAATGACAAGCAGCGAGTAGAAAAAAATAAACTGAATTATAATTTATGAATGCAAAATGCTACAATATTGTAACTAGATAATTTCGATATAGGCACAACGCAAAATATGTTCTAATGTGCAGTGACTATAGTAATTATTCCATRCATGGTACAATTTTTAAATGTTATAAATTAATCAATTTCCGATTTATCATATTATTGTGAGTACCTACATTAAGTAGAGTGTGATGATTTCTTGCATGTTTAAAAATTATCAGTAAAGTTTCAAGTAAATAAAGTAATTAAAAATGTCTGGTTTGTGTATATATGTATATACCTACATATATAATTATATATATTATATAATATAATGTACTAAAACGGAAATAATATGAAACTGACCTACTACAAAAACATTTTTTTTAATCAGATTTCAGGAAATAATTGTTGTTAAAAACATTTATAACGAGTAYATTGYGTATTATGAGATTGTTGTACAAACTTTCATGAATTCGCGCATACTAGTTTTCTCTATCGTTATGTATTAAAAAATTATTTACCGTGAAGTACATTTTTATTCAACTAGGTACCATTAACACCGCGGTCGTGAGTTGTCGTGTAAAGTTGTATACCGATGACTAAAAAAAGAGATACAAGTGGTTATTGCTACACCTTATATGCGATTATACAATTTTAATATCTATAATGTTATTATTGAGTTCGTTACATACGTGCAATAATAGGTAATAAGACGAGCAAGATTTATTGTTTAATTAAATCCCGTTGATAGTTTTACGTGCCATACCTACAGAGTTATGTTATACGACAACGAGGGATAGTTTATACATTGATACCTTTTTATAGTGTATAAATAGTATGTATACACATTTARGGCACTCATTGTTGGATCATAATGTCAATACGCATCATGTATAACGTAAAGACACCTGACATTATATTTTTCTTAACACTCGTAAGTTACAAATAATAATRTGTACCTAAAAAATTATGATACCTAAAAAAACTTGTGAGAAAACTTTAATATACAGARGAAAAATACGTCAGAAGAATTAATTTTGAATATTTTATATGAATTTTCATAGAAGCATTAATGCATTCACCGAAATTGTCTTAAGCACTAAAACACACAATATTATGACTATTATGAGCCTATGACAAAGTAGTAACTAGTAAGTATTACATAGGTACATCATTATTTTAACTGTCTTAGTTATATATATATATATATATATAATCTATATAGTTGCAAATGATCCATTAAACTATAACTTTTCGAAAATTGCCAAAAGGAAAAACCTACGTATGACACATTCAGTATTAAAAACCTATATGTACTAAACAATATAGGTACATACTCGTATATCAAAGGTCAACATTTAGACTCAACCTGCGGCGCGCGTCATATTTAATAATAATAATATCTATTCTAGCAATAAGAAATAATATATAATATAACAAAGACATAATAAGAATATTATGTGCAATGTGCTACAATAAAATTTAGAAAAATATGAATAGGGTGAGGGGAGAAACCATCCAGTGATCGCATTTCCTTTTGCTTAAACATAATTTGATATTAGCCAGATATTAGTGAGTTAGGGTGAGAATGCAGTTCAAAAAACGTTTATAATATACTTTATAGTACGTTTTAGCTTCTTCGTGAACGGTTTTTATTTTTAAGTCAGAATGAAGGGTACAATTATAAATATAAAATGGGACATTGGTAATGGAGCGCAGTATTTTGTTTAGAACGGATTGTATTTTGTTAAGATTRGATTTTTTGACATTGGCTTAAAGTTGTAAACCATATTATTATGTACACATAGGCTTAGTTAAGGATTTTTAAATGAGCAGTTTTATATATAATTTAGTATGTTTTATTGATAATAATATTTTTAGCAACCGGACACGCGTATTTAAAGTAAATGTTTTTCCCTGATTATTTGTTAAATACTAACATAATATAGAATAGTATATAGAGTAGTATAGACTATAGAGTAGTATAATATATAGAGTACAGTATTATAAGATATTTAGCCACTTTGGCAGCTGCATATGACCCCCTGCGTGTATTCTTTATTATGATCATTATTCATTAAAGTATCATTCGAAAACCCTATATTCATAAAACTATAATAAATTTGAATTCTTGAGATTTAAAAACTCTGAAAAGTATATGCTTGTCCGGAATATGACATTAAAAATGTTTGATATATATTGTCGTTCAAATAGTAAAAGCTTTAAAAAAAGTATATCTGGTTAATAAAGCAATCAAATAATAAACAAATTTAATGTTTTTTCTTTTAAAACGTATTGTCATTTACACTATCTATCGACTTTCTTTAAAAAAAAAAAATACCTAATATATAAAAGAAATGTTTTCAAAAACGTTAATGTTTTCTTAAAACATATAAGACGAGAGACTTTTTTTCGTGTTATCGATAACATGGAGGGGACTGCTGTTAGCATTGCTTCCCCCAAATAATACGAGAGACTGACGACGACGTTAAATATGGATCATTCCGTACATAACATATTTTATATATACGACTATACATATATATGCGGGACAATGTATTTAATATTATACGATCTTTTCATATGCCTAATACATATTATATTATTATATAGAGGTAYCTATCTACCTCCACATACATACATACATATATATAATGTGTGATTTTTAACAGAGTGTATATTTATATTTTGTGCACTTGCAGGTCGTGGCGGTTATTATGGATCTCACATACTTGGTCGTTRCCGTATTCGGAATGTGCGTCTTGCGGCCGTGCAGTTCGCTGCCTGCAGTCGCCACCGCCGCCACTGCCGCCACTGCTCCTACGCCTACCCCGTCATCGCCGCCATCGCTGCAGGTCGCCGCCGCTATACCGGCAAACCGCAATGACAAAAGGTCCAGGTCGCTGTTCCAGTCACCGCCGCCGGCTCCGCATCAGTACCATCTCCACGGCGGCGGCGCGGTCGATCTGTACGACGAAGTGATGGACGACTTGCCGTATTACTTGCAACACCAACAGCAGCACCAGCAACAGTTGTCGCTGCAGGATGCGACCGACGAGGACGAGCTGAGGACCGCCGACGACAACAACGCCGTCGATCACGATATGCGGCTGTCGAGCCGGGCGCGACCGGCCAAGCCCGACTCGCCCGTGTACTTTATCCGCTTACCGCCGCAACCGTACATGTACGTGCCCGGTTACGGTTACGTCAGCCAACCGACCCGGTTGGAACCGCCGCCGTTCACGCAGCGGCCACACTCGCCGTTCTTGAATCTACCACTGAGCTACGTTTCCAACGCTAAGCCCGTGGGCGTCTATACGCTGCCGCAACAGCACCACAACCAGCAGCACAATCAGTACCAGCACCACCAACAGCAGGCCCAGCAGCATTTGCCGGGCAGGCCGCAGAAACCGAACAGACGTCCGCAACCGACGTCCACGCCACCTCCGCCACCGCCACCGCCACCGCCACCACAGCAACAGCAACCGGATTCGCCGATCTACCATTTGGACAAAGGCCCGTACGTGTTTAACGGCCGTCCGTCAGACGTGTTCCTGTTGCAGAGCGCGTACGACAATTTGTACTCGGAAGTGCTACAAAACATTTACCCGTAAACGACCGTCGCACAATTTATTATAGACGATAAACACAATATTATTATTATATAATATTCTGTAATTTATTATAATTATAATTATTATTATTATTATTATTATTATTAGTTATCGATCACGACACCGACCGTCGTCGTGATCGCCAAAAAAGACTATCCATTCGCGTGATCTTACGAATCAAAAACATAAAATAAAATAATATATTTATTTATCTTATAAGAGATGCGAACGCGGCCGCTGATGTAAATATACTTAATCGAATGACAACGCGTATTTTATGTTTATTATTATTTTCTTATATATTATGTATTGTTATTATATATTTATTCGAATATTTGTTTTATAATTTATTTTTTTGTCTAATATGAGARTTATTTAAAATAATTGTTAAACGTTTTAAAATATTGTAAATAATATTATAATATATTATAATAGTTGATAATGTCGTCTATTTTTCTTGTGTTCACCTTCAAAGCACGTACTTCGTAGTTGTAATTATTGTCATTTTTCAAATGCAATAAATTCAAAAAAAAAAATAATAATAATAATAATAATCCGTATTAACACACCACATAAATTTTTTTTTGTGGTTTAAACTTTTAATACATCAATTATTATGATTAATATAATGATATACGATGCAATAAAACCGATATTTATTACCTATCGCAATGTTTGGAAAACATTTTGTATCGGAAGTGTCAAAACTGATATAATAATATCAAGGGCTGTCGTAATTGGAAAGTACAACTTTACATACAAAATTACCTGATAATTATTTTTAAATTTATGGATGTTATAAATTATAACTCATCATAATTATTGTTACAAACAGAGCAAAACTAAAAATAAAATATAATTAGCATAAGATACCTACATTAAACGGATCACCACTTTACCGCTAGCTGTTACCCGATAATTAATATTTATTTTATATGCATAATATTATGTATTATAAATATTATAAAATATTATTTAGTGTGCAGCATTAAATCTGCATAAGCACTTTCCATGCGATGCATCAAATGCAAACACAATAATAAGTGCAGAATATAATAATATATTATTATTGTCATAACTTTTCATTCGATTATCGTTAAACCCTTTGRGTAGGTAGATGCTTACTTTTTATTTTATACATTTTCAGTTCACACACACACACGATTACGTGCTTTGGGCTCACATATTATTATTATTATTATATTGTTTCCACCGTACCTGCTTTCCTATTTATTTGCCGTCTGCAATATAGTATAGAAAATAATAAAAATTTGTGTAATTAATTAGARATCCTTATAAACGTAACAGGATTTAATTTATATACCCGACGACGAAACRACACACAATAATCCTTATATTCTCTACGCGCCGCCGCGTCGGTTTGGTTAAAAAATATATAATATTTTGTATATTTTATTCAATCGATACTCCCCCCCCCCMCCGAGTTTATAACGATCACAATACAAATTCTACATAATATGTATATTATTRTAAGCCACTCTCAGTGATTTGCCCGCATTCGTGGTACATTCCTCTAAATACCCGTGAACAATGTACGTTTTCTTTTGTTGTTTTTTTCTTTCATAAATAACATAAATATATCACTTCAAATGCGCATATAGTTTTTACAAAGACTAATTATGTTTCAATTGTTTAATTTATGGCTGATTAGAGAAGTGACATAAAACCATTAATCCTAATTATATACACAAACATTATTATATGCAAGGGGTTAACTATTTACACATTACCTGTTATGCCCAAACTATACCATATAATATACTATCACTAATATCAGCATACATCTACATCGCTCATACTCATTATATTATGTAAATATAATATTATTATGTATTCGTTAGTGTTTAAAATTCACCTATGTCCAAGATATACCCATTCACAGCTTCACACGTTTTACGTACTATATGTACATACATATTATATTATCTATGCCTCATARTTTATCTTTTATATCAAACCTCCATTTTGTACACACAAACCTGATAAAGTTAAATGATTAAAATATGTTGTCGAATATACATCATATTATAATATAGATTAACTATAAAAAAATGTCTCGATTTTTACTTATTACGCAGTCAAACCGTCTAAATATACAATAATGTAAATTATTGTTATTTTCTGCCTTATGGATAATCTATGTGGCTATGCATGTACGTATATAATTATCCGAGAACTGACTACCTGAATAAAATGTATACCTACATAAGCTAAACGATAGGTTAAGGTTATGTCCTTGAGGACAAATATTATAATAATAATATTTCTCATTTTACGACTTATCATAGTTCATATAGTGTATAATATAAATTGTATATTTTATGACAGATATCCTTTTAAGTTCTTATTCAGTTATATTTCATAATATCTGGCGAAAGGTTTTGCTAATCTCAGGACACACTCATTTTAACCCAAAAGTGAACTTGTTTTGTTTCAGGTGTGATTCAATATACTAATTCACATGGTACATTTTTAAATAAATAATTAATAATACCAGTTAATAAGATATTAAATATGGACAAAATTTAAATGATGAAAATTAGAGTTAAAAACCCAAATTTAATATAAGTACAATTCCGTTAAGGATAGATATAATTTACATAATAGAATGATGTAAGTTGATTTCTACTTGGACCAATTCTTTTGATAATAAATAATTAGTGGACATTATTTTACACTATATTATGATCCGTACATAATCCATACAGATATGCTTGTTATATTTAGCTTGATGATTGTAAGGGGTATCGAATGCATCCGAAAAACAGGTTTTTTATATTTTGAAATTTATGAAGCCGTTTATTAGTATTGGTCGGAACCGTTAGAAACCAGTTACCTATAAAGGCACATGTGAATTCTTTATACTTTTATACTAAAAAAAACACACACACACACAACAACAACAAAAACAACAATAACAAGTATAACAAAGCTAATATTATTTATTCAACGACACATGACCCACTCAAACAATAATAATATTATTTTCATTTTTCAATTATTGTTATCCATAATATTTTATTATTTTGTAAATTAAATCAAATCTACATTATTAGTTAATAATCTATATAATATTGGATGGGTATAAATGTATACACTATATTCATAACCCATTACAAAATATTAGCTTGTGTAGACTAGCTGATGTAGACGTTGTAGAATTTATTAGTATAAATTATGCATTACATGATTATGATTAATGTCGTATACACTATATAATACGAGTGAAGATTAATTTGTTCATCGAATTAATTTCATACGCTTTTTACACACTTTTTAATCTTCAAACCCAAGATTTATAATAGATCATTCAGGATTATTTTTTTAAGTGTGTTAAAAAGAAAAAACATAACTAAATTAAAGGTTTTTATTTAAACTTTGATTCACAATATAATATATCGTCTCAAATATCGGACTGCGGATAATTTTTAACGATTTTCTTTTAAATGAATGTATTTTTTCAATGTAATCTAGTGTATCTCTGCTACAGTATCGAAATTTATTTCCATATCAGTTAGGTATAGTAATTTGAATGCTAAGAGTGTGTTTGCCTGTTTAAAGATATAAAGAAATTATTTTTAGCTCTAATGTTCTAAAAAAATCTGATGTTAAATCATTGGGCACATTGAAAATAGGTAATAAAATCAACGTGTTTATGTAGTAGGTATATAAGGATATTGGTCAGTTRAAGAATATGACGTTCTAAGGAAATACCAACTATTAAAAAATTGTTTTGAAAATATGATTAGATTAATAGAAAACTATATAGTGCTGTGTAGAAAATTGGATCAATTGGATGGATTTATAATTTGATGTTAACATTACGCCATAACGGGCATAACGTCTTATATGTCTCGCGTCTAAAAAAATATGTGCGTGTTTTCCACACATTAATAAAGTGTATGACTCAAATTAGTGTCATTGTACTAGTTGATTAAAATATTGGATCCACCAGTCTATTGTTCTAGAAAATATAATGACACGATAAACTGTATATATCAATAAATTWTAAAGTTCGTGAAAATGTCTAATCACTAAACAACACAAATCATGTAAAATATAACGATTTAACCGTAAATGAAAAAAATGTAATTTATCAWATTATATTTTAACTGTGTATAATTGTATGWATTTATTATATTTAKAATTACTAATTGAATCTATACGTATAGCATTTTTACCTGTCATAACAACTATATCAATAATAATATTTTGAATTCGACTMCGTTTTGTGATTCGGTCACACTGTGGCAAATCTTTTATKGTGAAATTATTTTTGACCGACGAGGGCAAATCCTTCTTGTCATAAAATATGTCGTACGCGTGTCTGTGCGATATAATATAGGATATACGGCTCGCACAGTCGAGCGACCTTTAACGATCGGAAGAGTGCATTCTTGTTCATTTATTATAGAGCGCTACGACGAAAAGTGTAGCTACCCTTCGCAATTGGGGTGGCTATAATGCATTTCTRCCGCGCCCCAAAACACGCAAACAACAATAACAAGTATCATAACTGCGCGGTCGAAAGAAAAATCATACACTTGATTGCATTTTCGTGCGACACTCGTTTGTCAGATTATCGATTCGTGGGAAGAACACATTATTTATATAACCTTTGTACAAAAACTCGGACATTCRCGGCTCTTCCTTTCTATATACTCTAATCGTTGACGTTTTCATATTTTATTCGTTTCAGTAATATATCAATTAGGTACTATTTAAGGCCGTCGTAATTATAACGGCAAAAATGTATAACTTTATTGTATATCGACTGTGCAAAACCGACCGGTTCAAAGGTTATAGAGAAACGCATCAAACGACGTATATTACACGCATTCGAAGGTGTATATTATATTCAGGCATACACAGTACCTTTTTTTTTTAAATCGATTTGCTTTCAATATTTTGTACATTTATACTTCCTCATTCTAATAAAATATAAACGAGGTTTTTATGTTTGCGAATACGTATTTAATMAGCGGTGTCGTTGCCAAATAGTCTAACACTGCACTACGCGCTCTATAGTGCTGTGGAAAGTTAGAAAAAAATGTCCCTGTTATAATTGAGTTTGATCATCGTTTATTTTCGGTCTACTAACGCCATTAATGTACGTTTAATTAGTTTTAAGACAACATATCATTAAATACTATTCAAAGAYATGGAAAAAAATTGAGTGGCAATAATGAAAAAATGCTTTCACATTTTTTTTCTGAAATAGATTTTTAATAGCAATATACGTATACGATATTTGTGTTCGAGCGAGAGTATGGGTGCGTGTGCGCATGTGTGTGTTTGTATATGTGTGTTTTTATACGAGTAATAGTGCGTTTAACAATATTGCCCGCCCTCTTTATTTCCTACTCAAACGAAGATGTACCTACCGGCGTGCAGAGATGAGTGCCTCGCTTGCCGCGTTTCCTAACCTCAGTCGAGTCGTCAGTTGATCTTCGGCTTCCACTTTGAAGAGTTTGGCATGGTGAAGTCTCAGTAGATTTCGTCACACGAATTGTCGTCGAACATACGTAAACACCGAAGCGATCTCTCTGAAATACAATTGAACTTTACCACTTCGTATAAAGCTTATTTATACAAGTAATAATAAGGTTAGTATTTTTACTCATTTTATTTTAATACATAGTTAAAAATATTCATATGTTCCAAAATTATTACCAGCTAGTACATACAATATTTAAAACAACAGAATATATTAATTAAGTAATTATTTTAATTCAAAACCTGCACATTGTTTAATGTGTAGACCATTGCCTTCGTATAATACATAATATGCAATTAATAACCCCGAATGTGTTGTGTTAAGTACTGTGAATTAATTAATTATTGATTATTTGTTAAATAATTATTTAGTTAAGTATTGACCTATTAAATATTTAAATTAAAGTAATAAAACTTTTATTTTGATATTAAAATTTGAAATTATAGTTKTATTTTTGGATCTACCTCTACGGCGGGAAATAGGATTTAGTCATTTCATTAGTTTCTTATATGTACCTACGGATTATGAATATAGTTTAAATACAATCAAAATAAAAAAAAAAGAGAATTTTTAGAATAATGAAATAGTTTCAAATGTTAAAATTAGAATCATAAAAATGATTAAATTTAGTATGCATGTATTTTCTTATAATATATAGTAATTTTATGATCATAATTATTATAGAAATCACATTACCTTATATTTAAAACATTAAAACCAGCTATAATTAGTGTATRAAATTGTTAAAAAATGTGTAGTTTTTTAATTCAATATTGATACTAACTTAAATTCAAAAAAAAATATTTATATAAATTCTATTGATTGATAAAATATATGTACTTTTCAATAGCAGTTACAATACAGTTACTAATACATACATTACGTATAACAAAAAAGAACTGTGTACGTTTTCCAAAATTAATATTTTTATACACCCTCTTAATATTCATCATAATATAGCTTTTTAATTTTAGATATAAAAATTGTATCATCTGTTAAGATACATTTTTTCTTAACTGTCACTTAATTGCAACAAAATTATATTACACTGCAATATTATATTTTACATACATATAAACTATAGCTAGACTTTTACTACAAATTATGACATTAGATTCGGAATATTTTTTTTCATATAAATACCCACAATCGAATTTTATAATATTTTATTTTTATTTTAAAATCTCAGGTTAACGTATTCTACTGCAGTTGTAGTAGGTACGGTAGGTACTCTATTATACGGTACACTCGATGGTGTAATAAATATATATATATATTAATATTATCATAAAATTTATTATTTATTAATTATTATAGACATATTATATTCGTAAACTCGGGTGCATTTACATTTACATACGTACATTTATCCTACATGGCTGTACTTAAAACTGTCAGTGCAGTTACATAAGCTTCTTCGGAGGTATATTTAAACTGAATTGTAAGAAAAAAATTCCTTTTTAGTKTAATCACGTGCGACTATTACAATCCACTTATTTTTTTTTTTTTAACCATAAATATAACAATAAACCACAACGTTCACATCGCAAGATTTTAAACGAATCGGAACTAAACGTTTTGGTATTCCAGGAAGTAATTTACATTAAAATTATATTTTTAAAGTAATAATATTATCATCCTAAATTTTGTCAGAGTAGTGATACATTTTGAGTGTATGTATTTTTGATCGTATGTAATACATAATTAGTTAGGTGTGCATAGGATATACGAGTAGTGGTTTCTTGAACATATAAAAAAAACTCAAGACTCCTTAGGAAAAAAAATCGGTGACAAAACATTAAATATGGCACGGGGAGACCTCAACGTATGGCGTATGCTTGGAATGCGGGCTTTGCACTTGCAATGTTGTGTCCGAAGAAATGTATAGATATAAAATTCTAATATTATTTGTTATATATTTGAGATCAGATCGAGCGTATTATAAGGACTTACTTCGGGCACAATTTATACGCACAGTACGTCCGTTTTACTGTCCGCATATAATATAATAATATACACTCGTCGACTATATATATATATATGCGTGCATACGTCGTATTACAAATAAATGAATATATATATTTATAGTTTATACACACAGCACACAAGTACAAAACGCGCGTATACGTGTTTTTGAGAGAAGAAAATAAACGTGATTTATTTTCCATTGTTCGACAACAAAATGAATTAATATTGAAAGTATATTTAGATATCAATATATCATAAATTCATAACTATATCATCGTGGTACTTGTGAGTAGTTGTAGGCCAACGTGATTRCGAGGTGTGTACCTATACCTAGTTGCTGTTGAGAACGATAACAGCTACAACGTTTGCGTATAAAGAAACCGAAAGTATTTCCGTAATTAAAAACATGAAACAATGTATATACATAGGTATCTTCGTTCGATTGTTCGCTAAGCGGCATGGCAATAAATAAGATGCGTAAAAAAATCGTAAAAAAATTATCATGAGAAAAGTATTGGTCTTGTGCAAAAAAATAAAATAATTTCAATAAAATTCTGACCCGAGGTTATTTTGTTCGGGTTAAACGTACGTTTTTCTTCACGACCTCTGCAAATAATACGTTCACCGCCGTCGTCGTGGCTGAAGTTTATATGTGTTTCAGTGTATCGGAAGTAGATGCGCTATGGGCATTACATCATCATTATTATTAAATTTTTATACTTGTTTTTTTAGTCATGAATAAATAATGTTTCCTTTTTTGTCCTTTCTTGTTTATATGCCGTGACCATGTTAAACCTTTTTTCTCGTGCTTTTTGTAGTCTAGCATAATTTTTAWGGCACAAACATATTATACGTGATACAGGAAAAAGAGAATTATTCTTTATTTGAATATTTATATTCCATTATTATTGAATACTGCAGGGACGGACATACAATGATGAATTCCAATACATGACGCATTTTTTTTTTTTTGTGAAAAACCTATGGTATACCTATGGTTAGTCTTATTAGGTCAACGGGTGACTAGTAACAACGTTTAAGTTTACCAGTTGTAAACAAGTCTGAGAATTTAAAATACTCGACACTTGCTCGATTAAAAAATACTTTGCAAGTTCATCATTCTAAATGTTATTACAAAATGTATCGCTAAAAATGTATACTATTCACCACATGCTATATTAAATGTATACGTCCAGATTCATATCAATTTCATACTTGTTACATAAATTTAATATTTTTATATGATAATGATAATAATAAGCAATGACGTATGAATAGCGTATACATTTTACTCAGAACAGTCAGAACTTATTAACTCTAAAATGTCCAAGATTCTACATATAATTTCTGATATACAAATATATTATTACATATTTTACGAATGAAAATAATATAAATTATTGTTTTTGTATTATCTTGATTGTATTGCTCATATATTATTTTGTATTTAAATTTTAAACAATGTTCAATACAAATATTATTATGCGTATTAATGGATTTTTAACTAATCTTTTCCCGTGTTCTTAGTTAAACCCATTAATTTTATTTTTTACTACATATTATAGTTATTTAGTGAGCTAATGAATCATTTAAATTGTAAATTACACTTGAGGTTTACTCGTGAATAATAATTAACTAATACTGTATTATAGAATAAAACTAACTTATAATTATTAGAAATTAATCTACCAATATCTGATTACAAAAAATAACAATAATAATATCCTAAAATTGCTTATATACACATCAAAAAAATATTTCTATGACGTCATGCATGTTCTAAGATCATGGTCAAATACCATAAGGTGAAACACTATACATTATAATATGTTTAAAAAAGTATTTATTGGTACTATTTTCTATWACTGCAGATCATTAAGATATGTACATTAATTTGATACTTATGTATATACTCGATGTACATTGTCTTGAACATATCACATTTTATCTCAAGTGACGAATGTCACTTCAAATAGGGGTTAAATTATAAAAGTCAAATCAATATTAGAAATGAATATGTTATAATATGCAGTTCCTATGTTGTGTGTTAAGTATGTTTATAAATTTTAATTTATTTATGTAACCAGTACGGCAGTACCTAGCACGAAATACTAGTTGAAATAAAATATTAATATTATTGGTAGGTACTGTTCGGTGATATATACCACCCAGTTATTGAACCGGGAATTTTGGAGAAAACATCCTTACCTTAAGTACCATTATTCTATCGTTTATTCCCTTTTTAGACGCTTTCCCAATTTATACTTTGACCCATATCATTGTGGTTGATGAAACCAATGGGGTGATTGACAGAATAGGTACGTGACAAAATCATATCACTCAAATGACAATAAATTGTATAGAYAACCTGCAGATAAATTTAGATACACTAATAGTAGGTATATAATTTATATATAATACACAAAAATTCAATAGTTTTAACTGGGTGATACATAATATATACTATACCTACAGTTCCATATTATTTTACTTAAGTAATTTGGAAAAAAATTCCAGTTTTTAAAATAACTCTATAACGACTCACATTCAAAAAAAATTTTTTTTTATTATTTATTAAAAATTTAAATGTATCAACATATTATTTGTTACAACAAGTTAGTTATAAATAATTAACATTCAAAGAAATAAAATATATAATATTATGAACAGTAATAATTAATTATTATCAATATACCTATATTGAGTAATAGTAAGCAATAGTTTACAACTAATGACCTAGATTCAAAGCATATCTCAATAAAAAAAAAAATAAAAAAAATATTCGATGTTAGTAAAGATTTAAAATAAAATACAGGAATTTAATAGCGCTTAAAGCATGGTAAAAAGTTAATTTGGAATGACATGAAATGAAGAAATATTTCTCTGCTAGGAATAACGTCAAGAACTCAGTAGTTAATTTTATTATTATTATTATTATTATTACTTTAATCCGTAATACTTTACAAAAATAAAGCAATTTWACATCTATACTTCTAATAGCTAACAATTAATACGAATTATCCTACTTCAAAAAATATTGTTTTATGTTTAAAAAAACTATAGGTAACCCACCTTTTTATTTGTACCTATTGTACTAAATATTCAAATTACMCACAGGTCACATACATCATATTTTCGTAC